ATGTTTGGATTTGAGCCTACCCATACTATTGTTTGTTTGATTCTTCCTTGAGTTGTTTAAACGTTCTTTAGTTATCCATTTCAGTGTGCTGTGCTTTTGACAGATACTTTTTGTTGTTGGTAGTGGTGGTTCATAGGGCTTGAACTCTGGACCTGGGCACTGTCCCTCAGCTCTTCAGCTCAAGGCTAGCACTCTACCACGTGAGCCACAGTGCCACTTACGGTTTTCTGGTGGTTTATCGGAGATAAAAGTCTCATGGACTTTCCTGCCCGGGCTGGCTTTGAACTGTGATCCTCAGATCTCAGACTCCTGAGTAACTAGGATTACAGTCATGAGCCACCAGTGCCTGGCTTGACTTTTTTAGGAATAATTTTAATATAGTAATACGCATATTTTCATAGTCTACTTAATATTTCACCCTTTGAAGTGAAAGTGTGTAAACTACCACTTTGCAGATACCTTTACCCTTCTCCCTTAATGTTTAATTATCTTTGATCTATCCTCTATGTATGTATGTATGTATCTATCTATCTATCTAATCTAATCTGTCTACCAGAAAATATTATAAATCTTTGTTTTAAATTGCTGAACTTTTTTTTTTTTTTGTCAATTGTGAGGCTTGAACTTTGGGCCTGATCTCTTTATCTCAAGGAGAGTGCTCTACCACTTGAGACACAGCACTACTTCTGGTTTTCTGGTAGTTAATTGGAGATAAGAGTCTCACAGGCTTTCCTGCCCCAGCTGGCTTTGAACCTTGATCCTCAGGTCTCAGCCTCCTGAGTAGCTAAGATTACAGGCATGAGCCACCGGTACCTGGTTAAATTGCTGAACGTATTTTAAGATATTCAAGATAAAAAACAGTTAATTTTATTTACCCAGATATTTTACTGTTTCTCTTGTTTTTCTTTTATGTCTGTCTTTCCATTTCTTCTGACATAAGTATTGACTTAGCAATTCTTGCAGGGCTAGCAAAGAATTCTTAGTGTTTTTCTGAGGGTGTTATTTATTTCACATCATTCCTGCTTATAAATAATATTTTTAAAGGAGGAAAAGTAAAAATAGTAGATACTATCAAATAGGATAAATTAATTATCAGGGTCTAAAAAGGGATACTATGTTATTTGAAAATTTCTATGGCTTAAAAAATATTGTGTTGGGCTGGGAAGGTGGCTCAGTGGTAGAGCACTTGCCTTGCATGCATGAGGCCCTGGGTTTGATTCCTCAGACCACATAAGCAGAAAAAAAAAGCTGGAAGTGGCGCTGTGGCTCAAGTGGTAGAGTGCAAGCCTTGAGCTGAAGAGCTGAGGGACAGGGCCCAGGCCCAGAGTTCAGGCCCCACGACCGGACCCCCCCAAAAAATATATATATATAGTGTTATTTCTCTTCTGTACTGGGGTTTGAACTTGGGGGGGTCCTTTTTATAAAGTATATATTTTTAAAAGAAGTGGTTTTTTTGTTTTGTTTTTTGTCAGTCATGGGGCTTGAACTCTGGGCCTGGGCACTGTCCCTCAGCTCTTCAGCTCAAGGATAGCACTCTATCACTTGAGCCATAGCGCCACTTGAACTCAGAGTCTTTTTAACATATTCTCCCACTTGAGGCATGATTCCAGCCTGGTTGCTTTGGTAATTTTTAGGAACCAGTGTCGTGCCTTGGCTGAGCCTGGTTCTGAGACTGCAATCTTCACTATGCTTCCTAGTAGCATAGATTACAGGTGTGTGCTACTATACCTGGCCTGAAATGCTGTGTTGATTTTCAAATTGATACTTCATCATTCACTCCAACATAAAATATTTTTATTACCAGTACTTAGGGTAGATAGTATGATGTGAATTTCTCCAAATAAGAAATTATATTCAGTGTGGATCATACAGGAGCACAATATGACTATAAAATAACCCAAGATAAGTAATCCAGAGCAGTATTTTATAGGATTTATTGTACATGTGGATTTTGTACAGAGCTTAAAAAAATGCAGATTCTGATCCACTAGGTTTGCAAATTTAACCTGAGACATCTTGCATTTGCAACAAGTTCCCAAGTGATACTGATGCTGCCTTAGTGCATAAATATTAAGGAGAGTAACCTATGACTATTGGAAGTGTGTGTGTGTGTGTGTGTTTTAATTTTTTGCCAATCGTGGGGCTTGAACTCAGGGCCTGGATGTTGTCCCTGAACTTTTTTTGCTCAAGGCTAGTGCTCCACCACTTTGAGCCCACAGCACTACGTCTGGTTTTCTTGTCATTAATTGGGAGATGAGTTTCATGGACTTCACTGCCCCAGCTGGCTTCAAACTGCAATCCTCAGATCTCAACCTGTGAGTAGGTAGGATTATAGGCATGAGCCACCACCAGCACATGGCTATTTTTATTTTTTATTTTGTCGGTCGCGGGGCTTGAACTCTGGGCCTGAGCCACTTCTGGTTTTCTGGTGGTTTATTGGAGATAAGAGTCTCACGGACTTTCCTGCCCCGGCTGGCGTTGAACCGCAATCCTCAGATCTTAGCCTCCTGAGTAGCTAGGATTACTGGTGCAAGCCACCAGCGACCGGCTTATTTAAATATTTTTAATAATCATCTTCTGTCTAAATTATTTCCTTTTAGTAGGTCAGATCAAAATAGAGTTATTCTGGACTGTACTTTTTAACAAATACCTTATATTTTTCCTAGTCAATCCTGTTGGCTATGTTTTCAAAACATCTGAAATCTGAGTGCTATGCCTACCAATCTGGTACAGAACTGTCATCTTCTTGGTAGATTAGAAGGGTCTGTTTACTGGCCTCTGCTCATTCTCTTGCTGCCTCCACTGTTTAAAACTATGTTACGGTCCCTGTCACTGAGAACAGAGTTTAGAAAGTACTATGAGATCTTGTCTTCGATCATTATCCTTCTGTTCGTTATTCTGATCACTGTCTCTTGTTTGTTTCTTGAACATCCCAGTCATGCTTCTTTGCCTTAGATTGTTATTTGCTGTTCTCTGTCTACATTTAGTTAGCATTGGCTATCTACATAAGCTCTTTTCCTTTTTTTCAGATCAGTTTTATTGTCACTTGAAGTTTTCTTCCTCTACCACTCTGTGAAAATAGCAGCTTCTCATTTTCTTATTCTTGTTGGCTATATTTTTTTCTTTGTAGCATTTTTCAAAAATCTAGCATACTAGGAATTTTACTTACCTTGTTTAAATCTCCTGTGAGCTTTAAATCCACTACAACCTTTGGAGTTCTTCTAACGTGCTATTTTGTAACCAGAATGAAACTTCAGCTTTTTAAAAAATCAATAATCAAGGAAGTGGCGCTAGTTTAGCTCAAGTGGTAGAGCGCTAGCCTTGAGCTGAAGAGCTGAGGGACAGCACTCAGGCCCAGAGTTCAAGCCCCAGGACCAACAAAAAAATAAAAAAAAAATCAATAATCAATACGTAGTTTTCCTGGGCAAGACAGACCTCTAAGGTAAAAATTGGCATGTCTCGGGCTGGGAAGGTGGCTCAGTGGAAGAGTGCTTGCCTTGCATGCATGAGGCCCTGGGTTCGATTCCTCAGCACCAAATAAGCAGAAAAAAAAAGCCGGAAGTGGAGCTGTGGCTCAAGTGGTAGAGTGCTAGCCTTGAGCTGAAGAGCTGAGGGACAGCGCCCAGGCCCAGAGTTCAGTTCCCACGAGCGGACACCCCCCCCCTCCCCGCCCGCCAAAAAAAAAAATAGCATATCAATTATTTTAGAAAATGAGGAAAATTACTTCATATACAATATGGGAAGCCATAACTGATAAAATTTGGGATTTCTTGTGCTTAGATGTTATAAAACATATTTGGATGGTTTAATGTAGTCTTGTCTTGCCACAATCAGTTGAAGAAGGAATATTTAAATCATTTTCCTTATGAATTTCTTTTGACAATTCACTTTACCATGTTTCTCTTTTTTTTCTTCGAATAGTCTGGTCCTTTAGGCCTGAACTATCTTTGACTTCCTCAAATTTGTTCATTAGATTGCAGGTGTGTTTCTGCTTTTTAGTTCCTTCCTTCTGCACTTCTTTTTCCAGCCAGTTATTCTAGCTTTGCAAATCATCCTACTTCTGATCTCCCCCGAATGTAGTCCATAAAATGATTTGCTGGCATAGTAATCTTTGAAAAAATAATTTTTTTTGTTTTTGCAGGGCTTTTTGCCATGCTAGGTTAAATTCTTAACGGAGCTGTACTCAAAACTATATCATTTTGATCATTTGGCTCTTTAAAGGAATCCTTAAGATTAAATGTAAGCAGCTCAGTCGATCGTTAGAGACATAACTATAATCTAGCCTCACTTGACTTGCTTTGTTATGCTTCTCTTATTATTCCTTATTGATCTTTCAGATGAAATTCTTAGCTTATATATCCATCCTTTCTCACCACACACAAACACCTTACTCTTCTTGTTCTTGTCACACTAGCTTAGCTAAATATGACTTTATTTCTCTATGCTGTGTTGTTCTTTCAATTTATCAAGTTCTTTAGCAAACCTCTCATCTTCCCAGAAACCTCTATTTCAAGTTCATCTCTCTCCGCAAATTATATCATGTCTTAATGACAGAATTTACTATTTAGCTTTTGTTACTTAATAGTTTTTTTTTTCCGGTCAGACTTGGCTTCTTTATTGTGAGTAATATAAAAGATTATCTAAAAACTGGCTTGTACTTTTTTTTGTTTTCGTTTTTTTTTAGTTCGTCGTGGGGTTGAACTTTGGGCCTGGGCACTATCCTAAGCAGTTTTGCTCAAGGCTGGTGCTCTACCACTTTGAACCACAGTGCTGCTTCTGTTTTTTGAGTGGTTAATTGGATATATTGAAATCTCATGGATACTTTTGTACCCAGGCTGGCTTTGAACTATGATCTTCAGATCTCAGCCTCCTGAGTAGCTAGGATATAGGCGTGAGCCACCAGCACCTGGCTTTTTTGTTCTTTTATGTATAAAATCATCTTTTAAAATTGACATTATTAAGATAGAAACATAAAAATTCTCTTATAATTTGTCATATAGGAAACCCTTTTCCAAGGAAAAATGAAGAAGAAGATTGTATATACTGTAACTATGGGAGACCAGGAGTATGAAGGTACGGAAGGTAAGTTTTCACTGTATGTTGAAAGCCAAACTTCACACTTCTAAACTGTTGTATAAAATTAAAATAATCAGTATTCTGTTTTTTTTCTTGTATTCTTTTAAAATTGATATTAAGTAGTTGTATAGGGGTTATAAGAGTCAGGTTATAGACTCACTGCTTTTACTTACTAGTATTCTTTAATCTTGAAATAAACTACTTAAGAACTGCACACATTTTTTTTTTCTTCTTAGTATTTAAACTTTGATTGAGGGTTTTTAAATTAGTTGAAATGTTTACCTTTTCTTGAAGTTTTGCTTTCTCCTGGTTTAGAGTTTCTGTTTTTGTTGCTAATTTTTAATGGTATTTTTCTCTGCTTCTGAAGTTAATCTTTTACAAAGGAAGATTAGAATGCTTTCTTATCAGTTTATCCTTAATTTATATGTTATTATCTATCATCTGAATTGGATGATTTATTATTTAGTTACCTTTTTTTTTTTTTTTTTTTTGGTCCTGGGGGTTTAACCCTGGGCCCGGGCACTGTCCCTATGCTCTTCAGCTCAAGGATAGCACTCTATCACTTGAGCCATAGCGCCACTTGAACTCAGAGTCTTTTTAACATATTCTCCCACTTGAGGCATGATTCCAGCCTGGTTGCTTTGGTAATTTTTAGGAACCAGTGTCGTGCCTTGGCTGAGCCTGGTTCTGAGACTGCAATCTTCACTATGCTTCCTAGTAGCATAGATTACAGGTGTGTGCTACTATACCTGGCCTGAAATGCTGTGTTGATTTTCAAATTGATACTTCATCATTCACTCCAACATAAAATATTTTTATTACCAGTACTTAGGGTAGATAGTATGATGTGAATTTCTCCAAATAAGAAATTATATTCAGTGTGGATCATACAGGAGCACAATATGACTATAAAATAACCCAAGATAAGTAATCCAGAGCAGTATTTTATAGGATTTATTGTACATGTGGATTTTGTACAGAGCTTAAAAAAATGCAGATTCTGATCCACTAGGTTTGCAAATTTAACCTGAGACATCTTGCATTTGCAACAAGTTCCCAAGTGATACTGATGCTGCCTTAGTGCATAAATATTAAGGAGAGTAACCTATGACTATTGGAAGTGTGTGTGTGTGTGTGTGTTTTAATTTTTTGCCAATCGTGGGGCTTGAACTCAGGGCCTGGATGTTGTCCCTGAACTTTTTTTGCTCAAGGCTAGTGCTCCACCACTTTGAGCCCACAGCACTACGTCTGGTTTTCTTGTCATTAATTGGGAGATGAGTTTCATGGACTTCACTGCCCCAGCTGGCTTCAAACTGCAATCCTCAGATCTCAACCTGTGAGTAGGTAGGATTATAGGCATGAGCCACCACCAGCACATGGCTATTTTTATTTTTTATTTTGTCGGTCGCGGGGCTTGAACTCTGGGCCTGAGCCACTTCTGGTTTTCTGGTGGTTTATTGGAGATAAGAGTCTCACGGACTTTCCTGCCCCGGCTGGCGTTGAACCGCAATCCTCAGATCTTAGCCTCCTGAGTAGCTAGGATTACTGGTGCAAGCCACCAGCGACCGGCTTATTTAAATATTTTTAATAATCATCTTCTGTCTAAATTATTTCCTTTTAGTAGGTCAGATCAAAATAGAGTTATTCTGGACTGTACTTTTTAACAAATACCTTATATTTTTCCTAGTCAATCCTGTTGGCTATGTTTTCAAAACATCTGAAATCTGAGTGCTATGCCTACCAATCTGGTACAGAACTGTCATCTTCTTGGTAGATTAGAAGGGTCTGTTTACTGGCCTCTGCTCATTCTCTTGCTGCCTCCACTGTTTAAAACTATGTTACGGTCCCTGTCACTGAGAACAGAGTTTAGAAAGTACTATGAGATCTTGTCTTCGATCATTATCCTTCTGTTCGTTATTCTGATCACTGTCTCTTGTTTGTTTCTTGAACATCCCAGTCATGCTTCTTTGCCTTAGATTGTTATTTGCTGTTCTCTGTCTACATTTAGTTAGCATTGGCTATCTACATAAGCTCTTTTCCTTTTTTTCAGATCAGTTTTATTGTCACTTGAAGTTTTCTTCCTCTACCACTCTGTGAAAATAGCAGCTTCTCATTTTCTTATTCTTGTTGGCTATATTTTTTTCTTTGTAGCATTTTTCAAAAATCTAGCATACTAGGAATTTTACTTACCTTGTTTAAATCTCCTGTGAGCTTTAAATCCACTACAACCTTTGGAGTTCTTCTAACGTGCTATTTTGTAACCAGAATGAAACTTCAGCTTTTTAAAAAATCAATAATCAAGGAAGTGGCGCTAGTTTAGCTCAAGTGGTAGAGCGCTAGCCTTGAGCTGAAGAGCTGAGGGACAGCACTCAGGCCCAGAGTTCAAGCCCCAGGACCAACAAAAAAATAAAAAAAAAATCAATAATCAATACGTAGTTTTCCTGGGCAAGACAGACCTCTAAGGTAAAAATTGGCATGTCTCGGGCTGGGAAGGTGGCTCAGTGGAAGAGTGCTTGCCTTGCATGCATGAGGCCCTGGGTTCGATTCCTCAGCACCAAATAAGCAGAAAAAAAAAGCCGGAAGTGGAGCTGTGGCTCAAGTGGTAGAGTGCTAGCCTTGAGCTGAAGAGCTGAGGGACAGCGCCCAGGCCCAGAGTTCAGTTCCCACGAGCGGACACCCCCCCCCTCCCCGCCCGCCAAAAAAAAAAATAGCATATCAATTAT